TGTTTGTCCACCCTTTCATCCACCAGTTCATTCACCCATTTGACTAACCATTCATCTATCCAACCACCCATCTACCCACCTGCCCATCTATCTGACCAAGCACCAACCAACCATCTCTCTCTCTCTGACCATCTTATATCCACTTAGTGCCCTTACTGGTCGGTTTCCTGACTATCCAGATGAAGCTTTAGGTGGATCCAGCTTGATCTTTGCAGACAAGACTCCAGAACAGGTACCTAGATTGGGGGAGACAGGAGGTTTTCTATTACAGACAGGAGGTTTTTCTCAGAGCCTGAGGTTAACAGAGAGTAGTGAGAGTAAGCTGGGTGGGGATGGATCAGTGTCAGTGGAGGCAGATGTGGCCAGAGAAAAGATGGGCAGCTAGAAAGATTGCATGAGTCGGAGAAAACAGCCATTTCTTCTCTGTAGAAGAAATGGTCTGATTAGAGGCCCCAGAGCCCCATGGCACGGGAGTCCTGACCAGAAACCCCTTCTCCAGTGCCCTTTCTTCCTGGACCCCCTCAGCTGTCCCAACCCCAGCAGTTTCCCTAGGCCTTTGAAATCTTGGGTCCATCCGTCTCAAGTCCTGGGTTCCCTTCTATAAAATTCCCTTGGTCTCTAAAATGCTATTTGTCCTTGGTCACAGGTAAGAATGGACCTGGAGATGCAGGCCCAGGAGAGCAAAAAGAGCAAGGAGCAAGAGAAGGGAAAAGACAAGGAGAAAAGTGAGAAGAAAAAGAAGAAGAAAGGAAAAGAAGGAAAAACCAGGAAAGGGGTAAGATGGCTCCTGGCATGCAGAGCAGATGGGCAGAAAGGAACCAAGCCTGGGAATTCATAGTAAGAGATCTGGTCCCAGCAAGAATCAGGCAGTTTTGGAGGTGATGGGGTCAAGGTTAATACATGTTTCTTTTCTAGGAAGCAGATACAATGCTGAAATATTGCCATCCAAGTTTATACCTGTGATTAACGCTGGACATGAAGAGTACATAAGTAAGAGGGGAGAAGGCTGGGAGGCATTGAACTTTGTAGGGGTGTTGGGGCCCTTAGTCATGGAGAAAGTGGCGTCTGCCATATGGCTATGAGGTGGCAATGTGGCTGTGGAGGCTGGAGGATAATGCCGATGGGGGCAGGGTGTGCAGTGATTGCTTGAGTTGAGGTGTTATGAGTGTGGTCTGAATGCTGCGGTCCCAGGCCTTGGAGTCAAGCCCTGGGTAGACGCAGTGCTAGATGGCCAACTGAGAACAGGGGACTAGCTAGGGCCACTCTCGTGTGTGTGCCCGCATGTACACTCGTGGCATTCCTGGGGCTCTCACCTCTCGTGTGCCTCCACTTGCCATGGTCAGATCAGTGGAAGAACCGCCACGAGAGCGCACATCCAAGTCAGAGCTTCGACCCTGAGACCCTCCAGGAGGAGAAGAGGAAGGAGGTGGAGCTGGAGATCCGGATACAGGTGTGAGCAGGGGTCAGGCTCCCTCAGCTGTTCCCCGTGTCTTCTTCCCACCACTGGTGCCTGCAGCTGCTGCAGATCCATCCCCACCCGGGCCCTCAGCCCCCACCCTGGCACCCAGATGATTCTCTGGGGACCAGGTTATCCTCTGTGCATAAATCCTATCTCCACCGGGCTGCCATGTCACTGCCATCATCCTCTGCCTCCACCATGTCCACTGTATCCTGGGGTTGAATTACCTCGCACCTGATTCAACAGGGATGTGAGGGCAGGAGTAGGTAGGGCTCTGAGCTGGGGTCAGGCTGGGGCTGGCAACTGGACATCCACATTCCACCACCATCCTCACACCGTGTCTGCTCTGTCAGGGTTATTGGACCATCAGACCATGATTTCCCAATGGTCTTCTAGAAAACTGATGCTACATAAGCATCATAGAGCCCTCAGGGGGTAGCCCTTAGGCTTGGCTCTGTCTTGGGGGCTTCCCCCACATTGATAGCTGCTGAGAGCAAGGCTCATGGAGGACAGGTGGATTAGGATTGTGTGTGGAAAGGTGCAAGGGAGGGAGACGTGCCAAGCCACATGGGAACCACCTGGGTGGCTGTCCTCTCTGCCTTCTCCTATTTTGTCTGGCTCTTCTTTGAAGCTCCTCCCTCCTCTCCAGCCCTGACTCCCTCCAGCACCTGTCCTGCCCACCACACTTCCTGCCTTGTCCTCCAGGTGGACGAGCTGATGCGTCAGGAGCTGAGAAACTTGCGTCTGGCTGTGGACAAGGAGGAAGGAAGACTCCTGAAAACTCCGAAGGCAGATGAGGGGTCACGGCTAGGTAGGGGAGGGAACATGAGGGCAGGAAGGCTGACAACAGTTAACAATTATCTGTGTGCTTATTTCCACCAGAAAAAGACTGGAAAGAAAACTGGGAAGAAGAAGAAGGAAAAAAGATCTGACCCCAGACAGGTAGCAGACCCTGTTGAGCCCACCTTGCACTGTAGGTGGTGGAGAGAGCCCAGTCCAGAACAGAAGACCTGACTGCTGGTCTTGGTTCTGCTGCAGTGTGATGTTGGGGAGGTGACTTCATCTCTCTGGACCCATGCCTTTGTTTACCATGTTCCTGTCGTTGAAAATGATAATGCAGAATAAATATAAATGGAGTTATATAATCATTACTCCACTTCTTCTAGACCCTCCCTCCAACCTTTGCTTTTGTTATTTCTGTCCTCCAAAGTCATCTTCCTCTGGACTCCCCCTTGGTGGGGGCACTGAGAACGAATCATTGCCCCTTTCTACCCATTTCTTTGGTAATGAGTGACCATAAGCACACTAACCCTAACGGCCCTTCCTCCCAAAGGAATTCACATCTTAGACTTGGTTTGGGAATGACTGGCTTTCACATGGTGGCACTTTGGTCATGTCACAGGGCCATTGGTCCTTCTCACTTACTCCTCACTCCACAGGGTGCCAACTTGGGGAGGGGTGCTCCTAACATAGTGGTTGGGCCTCCCCTTCTGACTCTGGTTGTTCCCATGTCTGTCTTCATTTCCCTTTGTCCTCTCTTGCTATGGTCTCCCTGCACCATCCTCTGCCAGGTCTGTGGAGTCACTGTATGAAGAGCTTGTCATTTTTGGCCTTCTAAAGAAGAGTGAGACAGTGGCATTGAAGGATTACGTTGGTGAGCCCCTCCCCATGCTCCAGCTCCCCATCCTCAGCCCATGGCCTCAGCTTCCAGAAACCTCTTTTCCAGCAGTTCTCTCCCTTGGACACCCCCCAAGAGTACTGCTCACCAGGTGGCCTCCTCCTTGTCCTCTCAGGTGACTGCCTTTATCTCGGGTCCACTCTGAGTTTGGCAAACAGCTTCCCATGCCCTCCTGTTTGATATACGACAGAAACATGGCCTTGTATGCAGTCCTTCGGCTGGGTGAGAGGCCCAGGGAGTGAAGTGCTGGGTGAATTTGGAGGAGGGGCAGTGGCTGGGATCCAGCGTTGGGTAGCTGAGGTGGCCTGTCCAGTCTAGGCCTCCACTTTCCAGTTGCCAAGGTACCTTTGCCAGGCCCTGACAGCAGTCACACGCAGATAGAGCCACCCCAGAAATCATACAAGCCCTTGACCGCTTGAGGGAGGACCACCACTGCCAGCCCTTTAATCCTAAGTGACATCCCATAGTCAGTCTCATTTCCAGAAAACCAGCCCTGCACCCTTATTAAAAAGCAGGACAGAAGCACTTTGTCAATTCTAACCGTCACAGTGCGGGGGTGGAAATGGTACGGAAACATAGCAAGGCACTGGAAGAAGATAGTGGGTCCCCTCCTGGCACCACACTGCTCCCCACCATGGAGTCGTAAGCCATTTGAAATTCTCCAGGCTGCCACTCTGGTTGCAGGTCTGGGAAGCTGCTCAAGTGTGGGGAAGGTGATGCGGCCCTGGCTTGTACCTCACCCTCTAAGCCCCTTCTTACTTCCCAGCCCCAGGCCTGGCCTCACCTTCCAGGATCTTCGCTGCCATTTGCTGGTTGCTTGCCCGTGGCCTACCTCCAGCCCTGCTTTACTTCCTCACAGGTTCCCCGGACATACACTCTGTGGCTCCCCTTCATCCGCTTCTATCCTCCTGGTGGCCCTCGTACGGGGGAGAAGATGTTGGTACAGGCTGTATGCCACGGAAACGGTTGCCAACACTGTTTGACCTTCACCTGACAATTCTGTATGGGGCAATATCCTGGCAAGAAGGGGGGTGCAGATGATTGGTCACATGGTTCTTTAAGTCTGGAGCCTGCGGCTTTTAGGTTCTGGCTTCCCAGACAGCACAGGTAGGGGGGCTTCATGCATTTGCGGGGTCACCCACTTACCTGTTGTTGAGATTCAGACTGGAACTGGTGAGGTCTCCCCACAACCCCTGCCTGAAGCCCCCATTGGAAAGGTGGGAGAGAGGGAGGCCAGAGAAGTTTCCCTTGTATGGTAAGATTGAAAGCCCTCTCCCCTTGGAGGGACGTGACTCTTGTGGTTTCACACTGAAGTGCGATGTGGATGTGTGTGCAAAGGACTGCGGGCAGGGTAAGAAGTGGAACCTGGGCCTCCAAAGTCACCAGCACCTAAGCCGGCCCTGACACATATGAAACCCTTGCCCGGGGGTGTCTTATGTCTTGATATATACCCCTCTGAACCCGTCCAGGTGCCCGGCTCCTACAGCCTTCTGTGATCTGGATTGGAATGCTGAAAAGGACTTTCTATTAAGAATCCCAAAAGAACGAGAGAAGGTGAGGGGCGCAGGAAAGGAAGGGACATGTGGATAGGCAGGCAGAGCCCAGGGCAAGGCCAGAATTCTTGTTTGAGTTCCCTGAAAACCACTAACCCTCTGCGACCTTGGTACTATAAGTTAACCTGGTCCTTTCTCATACCTCTTTTCCTTACGTCAAAGGCAGGACAGACAGCCTTTCCCCACGCCCTCAGGGTTGACATGAGGCTGACGTGGGGTATTATGATCTGAGAACACAGGGGCCCCGTAGGACCAGTCACTGTATCCCAACCCCACTTGCCTTGCCTCCTTGGAGCAGATGGACCCCAAGCGAAATATAAAAGAAGGACCTTGCCAAGGCCATGACGTCTCTGAATCCTGGAGGACCGTGTGATGCTGATAGCGGACAAACGAACATATCGGCCACAGCTGGCTGGGGGGGGGGGGGGGAGGGGGGGGGGGGGGGAGATGGGGGGGGGGGGGAGGGGGGGGGGGGGGGGGGGGGGGGGGGGGGGGGGGGGGGGGGGAGATGGGGGGGGGGGGGGGGGGGGGGGGGGGGGGGGGGGGGGGGGGGGGGGGGGGAGGGGGGGGGGGGGGGGGGGGGGGGTGGGGGGGGCGGGGGGGGGGGGGGGGGGGGGGGGGGGGGGGGGGGGGGGGGGGGGGAGGGGGGGGGGGGGGGGGGGGGGGGGAGGGGGGGGAGATGGAAGGGCTGTGCCGGCTGTATGAGCGGATCCTCTTCATGCCTCGGCCTGATTATGCTTCTCGCTATGGTGAGGCCCAGGGTTATGGGTAGGACAGAAATGGAGTCCAGGACCACTACCTCCAAACCCCCCCTACCATCCTCCTTACCATCCTCCACTCTGCTATGAGCACTCACCTCCAGGGCCAGGTCCTGAAGGCATACACAGCAGCCCAGTGCTGGGTCCTGCCCTTGGCCTCATGGACACAGGCAGGTTGCTTTCTCCTCAGAGTCTCCATTTCTGGTGCTCAACCAGGAGGACCATCCCTTCCACTCCTGGCCCCAGACCTTTCTGGGGACAGGAACTACTCCCCAGGAATACAGAGCTCCTTCACACCCAGTGGAGGAAGGCTGGGACCTGACGAGTCCCACTGCCCCTGTCTCACACCCCATTCCTCCTCCTCCCTGCAGTGCTCTGGAAGCATATGATAGAGGCCCAGGGAGAACAGGTGTCCCCAAAACCTGGACATCAGTGCCCTGTCCAAGGTGTCTGATGGCTATACAGCTGGTCAACATTCTTCAAGCCATCCAGTCTGTGGTGACCGAGCGTCGGCTCCTGCAACTGTCCAAGCTGCCCCTGGTGGCCTCTGAATTCGTGGGACATCTTAGCAAAGTTGGACCCAGTGTACAGGGAGGAGGAGGAATCTCTGAAGGTGAGGCCTCCAGGCTGGCTGGGGGGTACACGGGTCAGCTAGGAGTCAGCCCCAAGACAGGCAACTAGCCCTCTCCCTCTGCTCCCTTAAATTAATAGAAGACAGTCAAGTTAAATGGACTTGGACTACAGCTGGGAAGGGAACAGGAAACACCATGGAGGGTCAAAGGGTAGGGACCTGTAGGCAGGACTGTCCCACCTGGTCTCCTCGAGGCAGGAGCCCTTGATTGGTTCCAGAACCAGCTACCATGAGCCTCCCCCACGCTTGAGTTGGTGCCTGTCCCTGGGAGTCAAGAAGAGGGGCCTGTAGGGGGTGGAAGGAAGGAGGCATGCTCCCCAGAATGGCAGACACTGTGGCCTGGAGTGTTTAGTGCGGGAACAGGGAAGCCCTGGCTCTGACAGGATCCCCAGGCCCCAGAAGACAGGAAAAAAGCCTGCTGAGGAAACAGGACCACAAAGAAAGGAGAGGTGAAGGTGGACAAGGAGAGATGAGGGTCAGAGTCAGGTCCTGTGGACTCCCCGCTGCCTGTACTCCTGCCAACCCAGGACTGGTACTACAAAACTCCACTGGGCAAGAAGAATGCGAAACTTAGCAAGGACCAGCAGGAGGCCGAAGAGGCCAAGCTGGCAAAGAAAAGAAGAAAAGAAGTGAGAAGACTAGATGAGAGGGTGACCTGAGGGTGTCCGGGTGGGCAGAGGGACTGGCAGTGCCTCGAGGGTGAAAGGGCGGGGCATAAAGGCCCAGGTAGCTATGGACGAGCTGTCTTTCCAGCCATCACCACGGCTTCCGGCTTCCGGTCCACCACTCACCTCCCTGTCCCAGGGCCTGCTGTCACCTGCTCCTGCCCTCCCAGCTCTGGCCCCTGATCCCCTTCCCCCTCTTCATATCTTCATCTCCTTGTCACTTTCCTATGGTGGCTCTGCACCTCACTTGCTTGAGACAAAATAGGAAGGATGAGGAAAAGAGCAGAGAGGGAAGGAAGGCCTGCAGTAAGAAAAAGAGAAAGGCAGTCTGCAAGCAGCTGGCCCTGCTTGTAACCCTATGGCGCTAGCTCCCTGTGCAGCCCTCTCATCTCTGTGCCTCAGTTTCTGTAATTATAAAGTGAGGAGAGGTTAGGCCTAGGATCTCCAAGGTCCTTTCTCTCCGGGGTTGGATCATACTGGCAAAAGCATTTGTGGAATTGAGGAGCTGAGGCTATTTGGGTGGTGGTAGGCTGGGGATCAGAGGGGCCAGGGCTGTGGGTAGACTCAGTACCCTCCAAGCAATCTTGACCTCTCTCCTCTAAAGACCCCTCCCAACATCCCACCTGCAGTCTGTGCAATGGGGCTCAGTGGGAACATCCTCCTGTGGGGTGGGAGTCTCCCTTGCTAGGGGGAATATGGCTCTGGAATGGGTGGGGAACCCCAAGGAGCCAGGATGACTGTACGCCAGGGCTGGGAAGCCCCAGAAGAGGCAGACTTATGGGCAGTGCACAGAGTATTTGATAAAGGTCAAGAGGCATCCACAGGTAAGAGCCAGTGCAAGCCAGACCAGGTGAGACCCCTGGGGCTGGAGCAGCCCAGAGCCTGTGGTGGACAGGGTCAAGCCAGAGCTGAGCCTAGGGACTTGGCATACATCTTCTTTCTCCCCTCTTGACCTGTTATCCAAACCCCCCAACAAAAGCAGCCTCATTATCCTAATGGGCTCCCTCCCACTCTCCAGCTCAGACCCCAGCCAACTATGAGGCAGAGGTGCCATGTGGGAGATCATGGGGGCCTCCAGGGACTAGAGGACCAGCACCTAGGATGGATATGGTGGGGGGGGCTGGCACCCAGGATGAGCAAGGAATCTTTTGCTGCCTGTGGGCTGAGCCCTGTCCCCCTGTCAGAGAACCCTGAGGGTTCCTTGCACATGGGTGCTGGGCTCTGCTGCTGGTTGCTATTGACTTCTAAGTTCCCCTCCCTTGCATTTGGGAGTGGGAGGGTGCAGGGCTCATGGATAACATGTGAGGAGCATCTGACCTCCCGGGGTCAGAGCCCTGGCTGCTGGGGCTGACCTGGTAAAGCAAGTGACAAGAGACAGGGAACCTGGGAGCTGGCGTCGTGGTGCACACATGTAATCCCAACTACTTGGAGGAGGTAGGAGGATCACTGTCTGAGGCTGGCCTGAGGAAAAACTTGAAACTCTATTTGAAAAATAAACTAAAAACAACAGGGCTTGGGGGCATGGCTCAAGTGGTAGGGCACTTGCCTTGGAAGTGTGAGGCCCTGAGTTCAAACCCCTGTACTGGGGAAAGAAAAAAAAAATAAAAGAAAATGAATGAAAGAAAAAGGAAACTGGAATATGGGTTTCGGTCCAGCTCTATGACAAGTTACTTGTGTGTCTTTGGGAAAATTTCTCCCCTTCTCTGGGCTATGTTTTCTTGTGTCTGTAAGATGTACACTGGTCAGTATCAACTTGGATATCATCCAGTCCTGGAGGGTGAAGTTTGGGGGGTTGCAGGCTCCCCCTTCAGCCTGTTCAAAACCCTCCCTAACTCCCCTCTCAGCCTGAGAATATCATCCGGGTACTGAAGGATAGGACAGCCAGGGGCTATTTACAGCTGCCCAGGCTGCTCCTCTGCTCCTCCCACACTGGGCCCTGCTGCTTTGGCTCCCTCTCCAGAAACCAGCATGCCCAGGGGAAGGAGCTCCCCTTCCTATGGGGGACACCTTCTGGGGTTCATCCCCTCAGCCCCTGCCTGCCGCGTAGGGGGGCCCCAGTCCTGCCTAGCCTGGGGGACCCCTCGGTCATCGCCATTGCTGTGCCGTGATATGGCTCTACAGAATGCCCTGTACACTGGAGACCTGGCCAGGTTGCAGGACCTATTTCCCCCCCACAGCACAGCTGACCTGCTGCTGGAGAGCCGGGCTGCCGAGCCTCACTGGAGCAGCCATCAGAGGGGTGAGGAGCAGCTGGGGGAGGTCTGACATGGGGCTGGACTGACCACCCTTAGCACAGAGGTCCTAAGGCCGAGGAAATGAGAAGCCCCTGGCTGCTGCTTCCCCACCCCAAAACTTGCCTGACAGCTTAAACCTTGGCTCAGGAAAGAAGTCATGTGGAGCCCAGAATAGCTCCTGCTGGACCTCGTGGCCAGGTCAGGCTCCAGCCGGGGACACAGGGCCCTCTGCATCTATTTGTCCGTGTTTCCCTCCTTTTGCCCTCACTCTGCCTGTGGCCTTTACCTCTTCCTCTCCCAGGCTCCCTCCCCACATGCTCATGAGCTGGTCCCCAGAAGAGTGCAGGGGCAGGGAGAGCCCCCAGTGACAGATACACCCTCTGTGCCAGGCTGGTGGAGAAGCCCAGCAGAGGGTCTGAGGAGCACCTGGAGGCTGGCCCGAGACCCATCGTCACTTGCACAGCCTCAGGACCTGCCCTTGCCTTCTGGCAGGCAGTGCTGGCCGGGGACGTGGGCTCTGTGTCCCACATTCTCTCGGACTCCAGTACTGGCCTGACTCCTGATTCCGTCTTTGATACCAGCGACCCAGAGCGATGGAGGGATTTCCGCTTCAACATCCGCGCTCTGAGTATGGGCTAGGGACATTTGGGGTCTGAGTGGGAGAGGGGAGACTGTGGACTGAGCTCTGAGCTCCCTGTCCAGCCTCTGCCCACCTCACCGACCCTTGATGGCAGCTCTTTGCCATCCCTCAGGATCTGAGGCCCCTGTCCCTCTCTCCCTAGGACTCTGGTCTCTGACGTATGAAGAGGAGCTGACCACTCCACTGCATGTGGCGGCTAGTCGTGGCCACACAGAAGTTCTGCGGCTGCTGTTGAGGCGGCGGGCAAGCCGGACAGTGCCCCTGGGGGCCGCACCGCCCTGCATGAGGCCTGTGCTGCCGGGCACACTGCCTGTGTCCGTGTGCTGCTGGTGGCGGGAGCAGACCCCAACACCCCTGACCAGGATGGGAAACGCCCCTTGCATCTCTGCCGGGGACAGGCATCCTTGAGTGAGTGACCTTTCACCCCCACCCAGGTCCAGGCTTAGAAGAGGCAAGGAGACCTGCTCAGGGAGGAGTGATAGGCAGGTCAGGCAATCCCCAAAAACTGGTGGGGTCAGGATGTAATTACTCCCCGAGCCCCATGAACTGTGCGGTGGCCTGGACTTGGGACCGTTTCTGGTTCTCCAGGGATAGCGGAGGGCTGTGACAGGGGCCCAGCTTTGTGGGCTGTGCTGGGAAATCATCCCAGCTCATTATGGAGAGGCCATATTGCTATGTTTTAATATTTCCTGAGCTCATCCTACGTTCTGGGCACTGCGCTAAGTCCAGTAGCAGCTAAGTCATGGTCCTACCCTCAGGGAGCCTGCTGTCTAGTGATTCAGACAGGCTGCAAAGGATGGAGACCCCTGTGTCCCTGATTCTCAGTGTGGCAGGTCTGGATTCCCATACTGGCAGGGCACTCAAACTCACAAGAAACCGATGGGTCCACACAACTGTGTCCATGTTCTATTTACCGTAGGGAGAGTCCTTCGTAGTGACCTAAGTAATTACAATTTATGTATAAGGAACCTGGGAGGGCGAGTCCCCACTTATGGTTTCTTAGTGACTGCGAATTTGGGCAAAGTTTGCCTTGGCAAGTTCATGAACGGACTCTATACACAGCAGAGGTACTCTCTTGACTGACCTTACACCTGCCAGATCTTGCATCTCACCCCTGGAGAGGCATGCTATCCATCTTTGGTTCTAGTAGCCCTATCAAAAAATAAAAATTAAATAGGTAAATTGATGTTTTAATGTGGTAAAATATACAAAACATAAAATTTACCATTTAGCCATTTTAAATTGTACAGTCACATGGCACAACCATGATACCATCCATCCACAGAACTTTTTCCTTTCTTTTTTTTTTTTTTTGGTGGTGCTGGGGATCAAACCCAGGACCCCTGTGCTTGCTAGGCAAGTACTTTACCACTTGAGCCATGCTTCCAGACCCACAGAATTTTTTCATCTTGCAAAACTGAAGCACTATCTAGATTAAACAGTGACTTCCCAGGCTGGCTTCCCCTATCCCCTGGCAACCACTATTCTACTTTGTGTAGGAAGCTCATAGAAATGGAATCATGTGGATTTGTCCTTTGTTGACGACTCTTTCACTTACCATGATGTCCTTGGGGTTCATCCATTTTGTGGCAAAGTGTCAGAATCTCCTTAAAAACTCAGGGCCTGGGGTTTGATAGGCAGGTGCTCTACCACCTGAGTGATGCCCCTCCTCTTCTTAAGGCTGAATGATATTCTATGGTATGTAGATGCTGCATTTGTTTGACAGTTGGTGGACACTTCTGTTGTTTCCACATCATGGCTGCAGTGAATAATGCTGCTATGAATATGGGTGTACAAATATCTGTAAAACAGGTCAAATTAATTTTAATATATTTAACCCAATATATCCAAAATGTTATTTCAACAAGTAATCAATATAAAAATACTTAATGAAAGGGCTGAGGGTATAGCTCAGTGATAGAATGCTTGTCTAGCATGTGTAAGGCCCTGGGTGCTATCCCCAACGCCACAAAAAAAAAAATTCAAAAATTTTTAATGAGGTATGTTACATTCTTTTGTGCACTAAATCTTCAAAACTGGTGTGTATTTGACACAGCATATTTCCATTCAGACTAGCCACATTGCAGGTGCTCTGCAGCCCCATGTGGCTAGTGGCTCCCATATTGGATGACCCAACTCTACATAATCCCACATCTTTAGTTCTGGTCATTTTCAGTCCAGACTCCTTGAGCTCACACCAGTGGTGGCCACTCTTTCCTTTCTTGAGGAACGGTGTATTTTAAAATTATTATTTCAAACATACAGAATGGTAGCCAGGACAGTATAATGAGTCCCATGATCCAGCACCATCTACACCACCCACCCCTCCATCAAATGCTGAGCTCGGATGGTAACAGCTTCAGGCATTATCTCTTATGCTCCTCGCAACCCCTTCACCAGGCCAGCTCTTGTTATCTCCATTCTCCACATCAGGAAGTGAGCTCAAAAAGGCAGCCTCAAATTTTGGTGCACACTTAACTGTGACCCCGCCCCCCGTCCTTCCTCAAGCACCATCCTGGAGAAGATCTGGCTGGTTAATTTCCATTTTGTTGTTCCTTGTGCTGTGGCCCCCATTTCTATTTGTGCTCACTGCCAGGCCCCATGCCCTGGCTTCCTCCTCCAGTCCCAGCATGCACAGCCCTCAAACTGCCCTGCTGCCCCTGGCCCTGAATGCTAGCTGCATCCCTTCCAAGCTGTGTAAACTTGTGTGAGACCCTCCAAGGCTTTGTATTCTCTGTGACAGAGTTCTAAGAGAACCTACCTACCATGGGACTTAGAAGGGTGCCACTCCAACCATGTGATAACTGCTTGTGTCTTTTATTCCTATGGGTAGATAGTGGATGATTCCTGCAGAAAGTATTTGGATGTTTAAAAAGGCCACCGTGGGCTGGTATGGTGGCAGGTGCCTGTAGCCCCAGCGTCCGGGAGGCTGAGCAGCAGAATCCCTTGAGTCCAGGAGTTTGAAACCAGTTCAGGCAACACAGAAAGACCTTGTCCCAAAAAAATAAAAAATAAGTAGAAAGGCCATTGTGATCCTGCAGAATGTTGCTGGAACAGCAGGACGGAATTGGAAGGAGAGGAAGGTACAGAACCAGGAACCACCCAGAGCTCCCTGCCATGTTTGCTTGTGCTCAGACCAGCAGGAATGCGGGGTCCATACCTACTTCCTCCCCACCACCATCTCTCCCCGACTAGGTGTGTGGAGCTGCTCCTGAAGTTTGGGGCACGAGTGGACGGTCGGTCTGAGGAGGAAGAGGAGACAGCTTTGCACGTTGCTGCCCGGCTTGGCCATGTGGAACTGGTGGACCTGCTTCTAAGACGGGGAGCATGTCCTGACGCTCGCAATGCTGAAGGCTGGACACCACTGCTGGCTGCTTGTGACACCCGTTGTCAGTCCCTGATGATGCTGAGGCCACCTCTGCTCGCTGTTTTCAGCTGTGCCGCTTGCTGCTCTCAGCTGGAGCTGACGCGGATGCTGCCGACCAGGACAAGCAGCGGCCCCTGCACCTGGCCTGTCGCCGTGGCCATTCTGCCGTTGTGGAGCTGCTCCTGTCCTGTGGTGTCAGTGCCAATGCCATGGACTATGGGGGCCACACGGCCCTGCATTGTGCTCTGCAGGGTCCAGCCACAGCCCTGGGCCAGAGCCCGGAGCACATCGTGCAAGCCCTGCTTAACCATGGTGCCGTCCGAGTCTGGCCGGGGGCCCTCCCCAAGGTATGGGGCTGAAGGCTGGGAGAGGGCAATGATGGGGAGGGGACAGGGAGATCTAGACCTGTGCTCAGGCTTGCTTGGCAATGCAGCCTGGAACATTTGGGCACATAGATTAGTTCCTTCTGTCTGTCGTTCAACAAGTAAAAAAACCCAAATAGAGATCAAGAACAGGATGCAGAAGTGTTTGTGCTGGTGCATGTGTGCATGCGTGTGTGTGCATGCACGTATTGCATGTGTGCATGCACGTGTGATGAAGATGGACTGAGGGCAATAGGCTCAGATTGCAAAGGATCCGAAAGGTCCAAAGAGTCAGGAGCAGTGTGGTGGCCGGGATGGTTTAAGGGTCATACTCGGGCCATGAGCTGATGAGAACTGTTTGAGGGCACAGGACTCGAGGAGTGAGAGACTACACACCGACACGGATGAGGCACCCCCAGAGCAAGTCAGGCCAGCTCCCTGGTGCTCAAGGGCTCCTGAGCATTACAAAGGGACACAGCCCCACTTTCTGACAGCTTAGAGGGACATATCCCCCAAACAGCTGTCACTGTCCTTGTGACACACCTTTCCCTGTCATTTTCCGTTCATATCTTATTTTACATTAATTTCCCCAAAGTGAGTTCAACTTGAGGATCTGAGCAAGTGCCCTGGCAGGGGGCCTTGTCCCATGTTGGGCTAGAGGGCTACATAACATCATGGAGGGCACTGGGTGTGGGGAGGTCAGGACTGAACTGGCCACCTGGGAGGATGCAAGCTGAGGACAATTCCCCTCTGGCCCAACCCCGCCCCTTCCTGGGCCCACCCCTGCTGTCTTCCCCTGTCTCTTTCGCTCACAAACCTAGAAGCATCTGTCTGGATTCCTAAGCAAGACCAAATAATTAAACAGCCCGAGAGTTCGGCAGATTGGTCTCCCCTTTGGGAAAATACAAGAAAATCAACAATTAACACTAATTAATCTCCTATTAACACCAGATAATTAGGAGACGAGCAATTCCCTGTAATCTGACGGCAGCTCTGACAGCTAATGATTTCCCCACCAGGCGGGGCAAGAGGAGGACTTGGCACAGCAACTGAACATCCTGGGACCCCACACATGCCCCGCTGTCCTGCTCCGCCCCTCAGCCTGTCTGGGGGAGAAAGAGAACCAGCAGAGCAAAGGGCCCCATTTGTTCCTTTCCCACGATCTACAGTCCCTCCAGTCTTGGCTGGAGTTCCTAACCTCCCTGCAGGGAGGACTCTGAAGCCCATCTGTGTGACTTGTCAGTCCTGCCTTCTCCAAACCCACCATATTGGAACTGGCACTCAAGAGAGTGATCTGCGGTCTGACTCTGACACTTGTTCGTGTGTCTGTAAGCAAGTCACTGAAATTCTCCGCACCCCAAGTTCCTTGCATGAGATTACAGCCTCCACCAAAAAGGGATGAAAAGCTGTAGGAACCAAATTGGAGCTGATAAAAAGTATTGAGGATGGTGTGGGGCTTGTGCCTATCTCCAATTTGAAGGTGTGCTATCTGTACATTGCGTCCCTTGGTCCTTCAACTCCCTGTGGAGACAGGCGCACTACTGTGTGATCCCTGGGAAGTTGCTTAATTTCTCTGTACTTGTTTCCTCATCTGTAAAATAGAAAGCCAGCTTCCAGTTTCCTACTTCATAGGGTCAGTGTGAGAAATACTGCGAACACGTACAAAATCTTTGAACAGGGCCCAACCTATACATAGCACTCAGTACTTGTTAGCTAGTATTCTAAAGTGATGTATATGAAGACGCTTTCTAAGCTGTCGGCCATCATCCCAGTATAAGGGATTATTAGATATGAGAGGGCAAGTCGGAGCCGCATGGGCCTCCCGGAGGAGGTACGACTTAGGATGGGCAGTTTTTAGAAGGAGGGGGAGGAGGAAGCAGGTGTCCCACAAAAATGTAACTGTTCTTTCCGAACTGAGGAGGAGTGAGGTAGGGACTGGCCCAAGGGAGCCTGGGCTGGCAAAGCTCTGTAAGCACTGCCCAGAGCAGAACCAGAAGCAGAGGGAACCTGGACATATAAAAAGTCTGCTCCAGGGCTCCATGTCCCAAACAAGGCCTGGCCATCCACGCTCCCATTGCTCTCCACACTCCCCGTGGGGGAAGGGGCTTTCAAGCACTAACGTGTGCAATGGTGTGTGTCTGGGGTGTTTGCAGGTTTATCTGTAGGAAAGCTGCCTAGGAGGTGACACTTAGCTGATTTCAGATACACATAGGCTCCGTGGCCAGTGCCTGACATTGAAGTCCAACAAGAGGTGGAGTGGAGGAAGCACACATATGCTTATAGGTACCAAGTGCAGTGCGGTCACCATGGTACCTATGTCCATGGCGCTGTTTTTTTGACCTCATGGACATTCCCTCCACAGGCTGTTCCTGCTTCACGTCTCACCCTCTCACCACATCAGGCCACCACCTCAGAGACCACCTCTTGGATGGTGCCCTTCAAAGCGTGCTGTTTCCCTGACCCTACTTACTTGTCTTTGTAGCCGCAGGCCTGTGAGTGGTGATGGTGTGTTTATTGTTTTCCCTCTGAAATGGAAGCTCACAGATGACAGGACCTTGCCTTGCCTCCTCCCTGCTGGACCAGAGTAGGCCTCAGTAAATATTTGCTCAGTGTAAATGAAAGAATAAGTCTGGCTCCAACCGATCCCAACCATTCCCCAAACCCTCCGCTGCTGCCCTGGGAAGTCCACATCAGGCCTCTGCTTGCTGTTCCTCCTCCTACAATGCCCTTCTGGCCCTCACATTCAGAGCCAAGCTCCCTTAGTAAATCCCCCAGACCACCCTCTTCCTCCCCTGCTTCTCTTGCAGCTGTCGCTTAGCATTCTCCTGGCATTGAGAAGATTCTGCCTTATACAATGATTGATCTTTTTATCTGCTCAGGAGCCCATCCCAAGTCAGAGACCCCTTCCTAACCAGCAGAAAATCTAGCTCAGAGCTCTGCAGAGGCAGATAGGAGAGCAGAATGGGGTAATAGTTGAGGATGAAGCCACCGTGCCAGGCTTGAACTTCTGGAACTACAGCTTGGGCAAGTTTTTAAAAATCTTTGTGCTTCAGTTTCCCTTGTCTGAAAAATGGGGCAATAACAGTGCATAGCTGCAAAATGCTAAGAAAAGTATCTGGCATAAGTTATGCATGATAGAAATGTTAGCAGGTGTTTTCATTTCCTGTGTCTGCTGTTATAAAGTACCACAACTGGGCTATTTAAATCCACAGAAATTTACTCCCTCACAGTTCTGGAGGCTGGAGTCCCAAATGGAGGAACTGCAAGGTTGTTTCCTTCTGGAGGCTCTGAGGGAGACACTGTTACTGTGTCTTTTTCCAGCTCCTGGTGGTACCTGGTGTTCCTTGACTTGTGGCTGCATCACTCCAGTGTTATCACAGGCGCTTCTCCTATGTGTTGTCTGTGCCTCTGTTTCTTCTTATGACAACTGTCATATTGATTAGGGCCTACCCTAATGACCTTGTTTTTACTTGATTACAATCTGGCAGAGTCCTTATTTCCAAACAAGGTCACATTCATAGGTACCAAGGGTGAGGACCTCATTACATTTGGGGCGGGGAACAAAATTCAACCCACAACAGCTGTTCTGGAGCTGTCTGGTAACCCTTCATGGACAGAGGGGTTCCTGACACACCTGTCTCCTCAGGTGCTGGAGCGCTGGTGCACATCCCCGAGGACCATCGAGGTACTGAAACACTTACAGGTCCGTGCAGCTACCCGAGGGAAGGCCATGGGCCTGGTACCTCCTGAAACTCTGCAGGTTAGATTCCAGGACCCCGGACACAAAATTATTCAACTAGCCCCAGGAGAGTCCCACCCCATAAAGGAGAGCACTAATTGGTCCTCCACAGAAATTTCTCAGGGTCCTGACATCTCCAAAGAAGAGAACTCCTGGAGTGAGTTCTAAGTGGTTCCTGTAGACACCCCAGTGGTCTCCAGTCTGCTGCTTACAATTGGGTGCCCATTGTCAAGGCTGCCCTCACTGAGCCTCCTCTTCTGCCCCCAGAAGCACCATCGGTTCTACTCTTCCCTCTTCTCCTTGGTGAGCAGCCCGCTCACTGCAGCATCTGAGCCGTTGCACCCTCCGCTCTCACCTGGAGGGTGCCTGCCTCATGCCCTGCTGCGCCTTCCCTGCCACCCCGCCTGATCCGGTACCTGCTTCTGGATTTCGAAGATGTGCTCTACTAGGTGAACTCTGGGTTCTGGAGACACAGTGCTTGGGGTAGGGGTAAAAGAGCCTCCCCAGGAGGGAGGGTGCTGGCTTGGAACTGGCTGCCCCTAGGGCTATTGAATGTCTCTGAAGTCAAACCTCTCCTTTCAGGTGTGCACTACCTGGAGAGAACCTGAAAGCAGAAGCTCCAGGCTGCAGGGGGGTTCATCTTTGCATGGACTCATGCCAAGTGGCCTTGTCAACAAGAGGTCCATCTGCAAGGCAGGTGTTGATGCTACGTGCCCCACCTGAGAGGTGGAGAGATCATGGCAGACAGGTGATGTCTGATGAGGAGAGGGCAAGTGACACACTCTTTTTGGGGCTCTCCAAAGCCCCACTCTAGTCTATGCAAACCCTTTACGTGTATTAAAAATCTCCAGGCGAGTGATTTGGTGCCGTCTCCAACAAGCTTTCCTCAGGCTCCCTCCCTAAAGGGGAATTAGGACAGGAACTGGTAAGGGTCCCCAGATCTGCCTCATGTGCCTTACTTTCTCCCTTTGTCATCTATCACCAGGTCCCAGGCCAACCTGCCCCTCAGGCCCCATGAACTGATGAATGATCACAGATGTGAGCATGTCAGAAAAGGTCTAAAGGGTGGGCAGGGCCAGAGGCTTGGTAGGCAGAGCAGAAAAGGGCCCAGAAGGTAATGAAAGCTTCCTTTGGTGAAGAGGCAGGTAAAGCCACCAGGAGACTCACCTGGGGTGTGTGTAGGAGGGGTACTTGCATGAGTTAGTCTAGTGTGGAGGGATAACCATGACTCAGGTGAGAGCAAAAGGCCCAGGTTTAGGAAAACTGAACCACTTTTTACTCACTGCTTGAACTGCGGATCAGAAAGCGTCGCTTGCACACCTGGCCCCTGCCTAAAACTGTTCCTTTCTTAAATTTAGCTTTGTGGTGACAAAAGCACCAAGCTGTTACAGGACCTGGGTTTACTCAACTCTACCATTAACTTGTCCTGTAACATAAGTATCTTCCCCTCTGTAGCTCATTTACATCTGTAAAATGAAACAGACAAAGTGGAGTCTCTAGGGACACTGCGGTACCAGGATTCTAAGAACCTGCAGCTGGGCCCCAGTCCCAGCCGCTGGCGGGTAACCACAGGAGGGAGGGGAGCTGTGAGGAGCTACAGAGTAGCCAATCAAGTGCACGGTGATCCGTGACGTCAAGGGTCGCTGGACAGAGTTCCAGGCTTCACTTAACACAACTTTCCTGCCAGCTGCTGAGAGTGGGGCTGCGTGGGGCGGGGTGGGGCATGGAGGGGGCGGGGCCTGGGGCATGAGGCGAGTTGCTGGAACCTGAGCACCAAGCTGGGGCTGGTGTCGAGAAGGCAATGAGACATACAGTGAGACGAATGGCAGGACTCCTAGCCGGTCCTCACCGAGCGTGGTGGCCCAGGCTGCCTGGGCTCCAGGTAACAGCAGGCAGCTTGGGAACCCGAGGGTCCAGGTTTGTCGGAACCCTCAGCTGTGAAAACACAGGCTGCTTTGCCCGGAGGCACCTTGCAGGGCAAGGTCAAGGTCAGGAAGCGTTTCCTCAGTCACGTAAGGAGAACCTGCAGCAGAAGGTTCACTTACCGACAGACAGGGATGCCCCATCTTGTCTGCAGGGATGGGGGTGGGATCCTGAAGAATGCCCGCGTGTTCATTTTATAGTTCCCAACTGTTCTAGGCCATGCAGACACTGAACTGCAGAAGACATCAGACCTTGCCCCGGTCCTACTCTCTCGGAGCCTCCTATCTGGCAGAAGGGGAAATGCCAAGCAAAACAACACATGGATAAGAAATGCAAAAGGGTGATGTAACTGTGACTGGATCGGGTGACAGGGAAATCCACTCTTGAGGAGGTGACATTTAACCTGAGATCTGAATGACAAGGAGTCATCCTTGTGAGTAGAGTGGGAAAGGACAGGAGAGTGACATGAGCTAATGTAGGCGCTAAAAGATCACTGGGGCGTCCGGGTGGCTAGGGATGGAGAGGCCATAGAGAATGGGGAGGCCAGTTGGAGGCTATTGCAGCAAGTTCAGGCAGAGTTGGGGTAATTGTGGGCAAGCTTTGGGATGGACTTGCAGATGTAGTGCCTGTGGGCTGGAGGAAAGCCTCATCTAGGATGCCTCCTGGACTTTTGGCTTGAACAACTGGATGATGGTGTAGTAACTACTAAGTGAGGAACAGAGAGGAACAGGAATCTAAAGACCTACGTTGGGTAGATTAAACTGGAGCCATCTGAGAGACATCTCAAAGAGGCTGTGTTCAAAGGCCCTGTGAATCTGGACTGTGAAAGGAGGGCAGGTCTGAGCATGTAACTAGGAAAGCTGGTAAGGCTCTCTTCCAAAGGATCCTGACTCATTCTCAAAGGATGATTTTCCTGAAAGTTCTTGTTATGAATTTTGATGCAAATTCTGTTTAATCCCACCTACTCTGTTTCCTTTTGTGCTTTCTGGAGCCCCAAATTTAGTATTAGGTACATGCTGCAAATGAGACATGGTCCTGCCCAGCAACCTTTCAATCTAATCCGAAAGCAGGTGTGAAGTGGTTAGAATACAGAGAGCAATGATGAAGGTAACAAACTGTGAGGCCAGGGGCTGCAGAGGAAAGGAAGGCGAGCAATGGGGTATGAATGTGAGAAGACTTCGCAGAGGGGGTACTGCCTCTACAGTAACAAGGAAGGAGGGTTCCTGCCACAATATGGAGGGGTTGGGTGTGGGGTACCTTTTAAGGAAGGTGGAAGGGAAGAAAGGGCACGTGAAGTGGTCCATGTGAGGCCTGTCGCTAGCTTCACATGTGCACCCTTAGCAAGGCAACGTTGGAAGGTCTTTTCTGGGGTTAGATATCCAGACACTTCCAAGACAGGGAGCTTCCTCCCCCAGCCTCCTGGTTGATGGTCCCGCGCCCAGAACCTCTCCCCGGTATTGCTTTCTGTAATGTGTTTGCTCCAAACCAATTTCACGCCTCTGTGAGGACTCGCCTCACTGGAGCCGCGGACCTCCCACCACAACCTGCCCGCCTGTGAACATGTGGGCTCACGCATACAGCACACATTAAACACGACAGATACACAGGATTGGAGAACCTGGGCACAACAAACATGAATAAGCCTATCTGTATGTTATACTACACTTCAAGACCTCGTGTTACAATCATCGTGCCCCAACCAGTGCACGCACAGTGAAGCACCCACGGGCTTGGACAGCGTCACCTGCTCGGGTTTCTTTGCCTTCGAAGCGTCTCCGACTAACGCCAGGGGGCGCTGCAGCACCCTGCGCCTCCTCGCGGTGGTGCAGTTGCGCCCTACTGCCACAGAGGGAGCCAGGGCAGGACCCGCCGCTGCCCACCGTAATAGGACTCCCTGGCCAATGAATGAGTGAGTGGACCTTGGCTTGGACTTTAGAACGCTTTTACTAGTTCTTCGTATCCCTAGTTGCACATGAGGGAGAGGCCAGATGACGAAATCCGACATAAGCATAAGAGATCGAACAAAAATAAATTCCCCTACTACAATTCCCAAACGGAGAGAAGTGAGTGGTCCAGCCGAGAAGTGGAACAGTGAACAGCAGTGCTTAGTACTCCCTTTTCCCCTTTTTTTCTCTCTTCTACTCCCCACCTCCTCCTACCGATCCTTCCCTTCCGTACTCCTCTTCCCCCTCCTACCACTCTCCCTCTGTTCCCCCCGTGGCGGCCCTCGGTCCGCTTTCCACACCCATCTCCGTTTCAGATGAGCGTCTGATTGCGCATAATCGGGCCTGGTTCAGAGGATTCAACCACCGTTTCCTCTGGAAAGAAAGGAACGACAGTGTTACAGATTTGAAACAACAGCAATCTGTCCTTGGTAACTGACAGAGAGTAAGAAGCATGGGGCACCACTGATCGCCCTTGTTCAAGTAGGAACAAACCCTTTGGCAGGGTGCTGCCCTCCCACATCACATCACCTTGGCTTTGTGTTTTTGAAACAGGTCTCACGTATACGGTAGACCCGCTCTAAACTGTTCATCCTCTGCCTCTGCTTCTGAGTGCTGGAGATTACAGACATGCACTCAACCACACCCGGATCCTTGCGTCTGAACTAGGCCAGAGTAGATATAAACCTCCCTTCTCACATGACAAATCAAACGTCCTAAGAGGGACACCGTCCCGTGAGGAGTCAGAACTTGACCCCAGATCTTTTTACTACTGGCAATGTGTTTTAATTTACCATGTACATCAGTTCCTCGCTTGAAGAAAGGGCAGGGGAAGGAAGTGGGCTGTGGTAGTTGTCACTGACCACGTGACACTACCTACTGAATATCCAGGACTATGAAAAGTCACAACTCATGACTCCAGCATGGCAAGGGAACAATTGAAGATATAAATGGATCAGAAATCTCAGAATCTAACACACATGAGCCATACCAGGTCAATACACAGTCCCTGAGGTCTTGCTTGTCTCTGTTCAGAGTTGCTGGCCCACTGGGATTTGTTGGCACAAAGCAGTAAACCTGTACTCTCTTTGCCAGCTTGAGTGGAGATTCTGCTTTTCTGAGTATAGTTCTGAGCAATAAGCATGAGGTAGTTGACATACATCTTCAAGACCAGAGGGTCTGTGCTCTTGAGTCCTTGACAACACACGATCCATTCTGTACCACCAGGGAATGACAAGCTTATTTAAGTGGCCTTTTACTGGCAAGAATGTGGTGGGAGATGTCTCAATAGATGTCCTTTTGGAATGTTGTACTATGTGATTTTATTACCTATGCAAAAATGAATGCAATTACTTTTAAGAATGGCTCTTCTTCATGCCTTATTTGATTGGTGTGGAAACTGCTCGTACAGCTTTAATTGCAGTAATTGTAGCCCAAAGTTTCCTCCATAATTCATCAAGTCAATAAGGCTCTATTATGTATCCAACACTGTAAAACCATCAAACTGAGTACTTGACCTCTCACTTTTTAAGTGCAATACACTTTTGAAGTCTGGGCTTCCATATCAGTACTGTGAAGCGCTTGGTTAATTTAACAAAGCGTTGTTGGGAAGATTATCTTTAGACAAGGGTGTATCCTTCTAGTCCTTTTTTTTTTTTTTTGCAGTAGTGGGGTTAACTCAGGGCCTACACCTTGAGGTCATTCCACCAGCCCTTTTTGTGGTGGGTTTTTTGGAGCTAGGGTTTTGTGAACTATTTGCCCAGGGCAAACTGCTTGCCCAGGCTGGCTTCAAACTACAATCCTCCTGATCGCTACCTCCTGAATAAGTAGGGTCTTGTGAATTATTTGCCCAGTGCAAACTGTTTGCCCAGGCTGGCTTCAAACTACAATCCTCCTGATCACTACCTCCTGAATAAGCAGGATTATAGGTGTAAGCCACCAGCAGCTGGCTATCCTAGTCCTTTAGTTGTGAGTTTGGGGCTCCCAGACCTAAGCTAAAGTACCTCTTCCTTCTCCATCTTCCCACTAGTCTCCTCTCAGAAGATACATTGGATTTAAAGTAGTAGACCCCATGCTAGATCAGGACTGCATGGAAATGAGTTTTCTGTTCACCTCTTTGGTGAGCTGTCAATCAATGCATAACCAAATTGCCCTCTTCCTCACTGCCACCCTGGTGACAATGTCTTTCAGGATGCTGATTTTAAATACATCAGCCTGACATTAGCTGTGTGCATTCACAAGGCCAACACAAAACTCCTGATTGGAACAAATGTCACTGAGACCCAGTGATCCCTTTTGCCCTGCTCTGTACTTATGTGGCAATTCTGGGGCACTTTGGCATACATAGGTTTTCCTCCTTACCTAAGCCAAATCACCTGAACCCCATCTTCCTGAACTTGCCTGGGTTTGCTAGCACTCATTTTGACTACCTTACCCCTCCCTGACTCCACCTAAATAACAGTCTCCTAGTGACCAAATGACACTTCAGCTGGCCAGGCTTGCTGTGTCCTGAAGCTTGGGTCACTCTTCTGTGGACTTGTCTTTCTTGCCCACTGACCTGAGGGGTTTATCAAGTCAAAGTGCCTATGACTTTTGCCTCTAGAATGACAAGTCTACTGCAGGGATTCAGAAGAAGGGGGACAGAAAAGGCACCACCATTTCTGTGTCTGGGAATGGGGGAGGTGAGTAGAGTCATGTGCAATTAGCGGATAATTAGCGCGGCTGACCCTTGCGGCTCATCAGCGCTCCTGGGGCCAGCCCCCAGCAATCAGCCAGGGCAGGTCGAGAGTGTCAGGCCCAGGAATGAATAGGGCTCATCAGCGGCGCTGGAGCCCGGGAGCCAATCAGGGAAATTAATAGCAGAAGAGAGGGAGAGAGCGAGGGAGGGAGACAGATAGACAAACAGACAAGAGATACAGATAAAGGCGAGGAGTGAGAAAAAAGAAAAAAGACGGCGATAGGAAAGAGCTAATCAAATATGAGAGGAATAGGAGTAAAAACGAGGGCGGGAAAGGGAAGAAGAGTGGGAGGGGGGAAAAACTGTAAAGGATGGGAGGAAAGTGGAGGGGGAACGGCGAAGGAATGGTAAGTGCTTGGCACAGTGTGGGCACTAGAGGAAATTCCCCCCAGAGGCGCGAATCAGAGACTAAGGGATGCTGGCGATGGAGGAGGAAATGAGAGAGACGGGGAGGAGAAGAGCCATTGCCAAGCGAGTGGAGACCGGGGGGAGAATGCGAGTGGGGTGGGAAGACACCAGAGAGGAGGAAAAGGGTCCCCACGAGTGGCCCGAGCGCGCCCCCTGCCGTCCCGCCCCGCCGCCCTCAGCCCCGCTCCTCCCGCCGAGGTGCTGTCCCGCAGCGGCGTCCCCGCTTCTCCGAGGGCCACCAGGTCCTGCGCTCCAGGGGCCGGCCGGAATCCGACGGAGGAAGGCGGCCCGGGACGGGGAGATGGGCACCCGGCTCCCGCCCCGCCACCAGTCCCCGGAGCGCGCCTTCCTGTCCCGCGCTTGCGCCCCGTCCACGCCGGGCCCCGCTGCCCGGTCCCCTCCGGGCCACCGCCCGCTCGCCCTCCGAGCCGGGCCGAGCCCGGGCCGGGTGGGCTGAGTAGAGGGGGACAGGCTGGGTGCCGCGAGGGGACCTGGCCAGCAGCTGCCGCCGCCTTCTCGTCGGCCGCAAACTTTCACAAAGCGGCGTGTCCGGCCTCATCAATCTCCATTAATAATAGTTGGTTGGGCCGCGGGGGGCGGGCGGGGTCCCGGGCCGGCCGGCCTGGCCGCTGGGAACGGGCTCTGCGGAGGGAGCGGGAGCCGGGCACGGCGGCGGCGGGCGGAGGGAGGAAGTGAAGCGTAATTTGAGGAAGATGGATGAGTCCGGAGGGCGACACCCCCAGCCCGCCCGCCCGCCCGCCCGCCCCCTCCCTCCTTATGAGAGAGGGAGCGCGGCGCCGGAGCCTCACTGCGCTGAGCCCGCGCCCCGCCGCCACCTCGGCCCGGGAGCCAGAGCGAGCCCTGCGTGTCCGCGCGGGAGCCCGAGCCGCGGGGCGCACGGCGGCGCCCGGAGGGGAACGCCCCGGGGTGGCCGCAGCTCCCGGCGCCATGCAGAGAGCCGGAGGCGGCGGCGCCCCCGGGGGCAGCGGCGGGGGCGGCGGCGGGGCCCCGGGCACTGCCTTCTCCATCGACTCCCTGATCGGGCCGCCGCCACCACGCTCCGGCCACTTGCTCTACACCGGCTACCCCATGTTCATGCCCTACCGGCCGCTCGTGCTGCCGCAGGCGCTGGCCCCCGCGCCGCTGCCCGCCGGCCTCCCGCCCCTCGCCCCGCTGGCCTCCTTCGCGGGCCGCCTGACCAACACCTTCTGCGCGGGGCTGGGCCAGGCGGTGCCCTCCATGGTGGCGCTGACCACCGCGCTGCCCAGCTTCGCGGAGCCGCCCGACGCCTTCTACGGGTCCCCGGAGCTCGCCGCCGCGGCCGCCGCCGCCACTGCCTCGCGAAGCAACCCGGAGCCGGGCGGCCGACGCGCCGAGGGCGGGCTGGACGCCGACGAGCTGCTGCCCGCCCGGGAGAAAGTGGCGGAGCCCCCGCCGCCCCCGCCTGCGCACTTCTCAGAGACTTTCCCAAGTCTGCCGGGTAAGTGCCGGGGCCCCGCCGGGCCGATCAGGGCGCCGGGCGGGAGGGCGTTCCTCCGCAAGCCCTAGACCGGAACCTACTCGGAACCCCGCCACTTGGCCTGGAGCCCCGGAGTGCCAGGCCCCCGGATCCCGATCGCGCGCCGGTTCTGCAGAACTGACTCCGGTTCAGTTCCAAACACCGCGTCTCTAGGTCCCCGTACCACCCTGCTCTGTCCCCAGAGCTCCAGGCTTCCCCGCACACCCTTCCAAATTACAGCCTTTCCTCCCGGCGTTCTAGAGCTCCAGCCTCGCCTCTGTCTCGCTTTTAGAGTTCCTTCGTTTTTCTCCTCTACCAGGAGTAGGGAAGCTGCAAGGGTGGGATTCCTGGGGACACTAGCAGGACCCCAGGGTGAGGGCATGTTGAGGCAGCTCGCTCGGTAAGGGTGACCGTTCTGGCTTCGGAGGAGATTGTGTTGACCGCCAACGCTCAGATGGCGGGACCTGGGCTCTGTGGATGCAGAGCAAAGGGGGCCTGTGTCTTCTCCTTAGTACTACAGGTCACTCCTGGAACTGGCGGGTTTAGAGGCAAGCTTTGAGAACCAGCTAGGGGGCTGGAGCAGTGCTGATTGGGAGGCCCAGAAAGCCTAAAGGATGGCTGAGTTGGGTGTGGCCTCAGGGCCCAGAGTTACTGATCTGGCTAAGGTTCAGCTAAGAGCCCTGCGTCTTCCCAGGGATTTGTTCCTAGAGGCAGGCAGAAGCAACTCACTTGGCGCCCTCTTGCCTTCCTTATAATCCCTAAAGCCAAAAAGGCTGGAATCCAAAGCTTGTACAGTTTGGTGGGCCCTACTGAAGAAAAACAGGGGCCACATGTAAGTATAGAGGTTCTGAAGCTTAAACCTCTTAGCACCGGGATGAATCCTTCTCTGCTCCACCAACCATTCACTGCATCCAGTTTAGCAGGTGGAAATGACCCCATAAGGAAGGCTGGGGAGGGCTGGCTCTGGCAGAGGCAAGGAGGGGACCAGAGATTGCTGGGCCAGGAGAGGCAATTCCTGATGATAGGTTTTGGCTCTCCCTGGAATTGTTCAAGGGGTTGATCACCCTTCTACATGTCCAGGGCTGCCATGGAACCCATTTTTCCTCTTCTTTTCCCTCTTAATTCTGGGCATTTGGGCTTTGGGCATTCAGCTGTTGTTTTCTGTTTTGTACCTGGTTGGACTAGGAGGATCCCATGACTGAAGTCAGAGCAGTGTCTCTTAAGGAGGATCCTAGGCAAAAGACAGCAGATCTGGAAATGGAAGAAAAAGTCTGCAAGATAAGGGGGCAGGGTGGGGGGAAGGAGCCAGCAGGAGGGTCTTAAGGAGGAAGAATTAGTGGCATTTTCAAATTAGGATGGCTGTGAGGCAGAAAAGTGACCAGGGCAGGCCATCAAAGAGATGACTGAGGAGGCTATAGGAACTGGAGGCGGAGCCAGACACACCTAGGTAGAGATGACCCCAGGTGGAGGGGAACTGAGGGGAAATGTGCCCAAACCAAGGGAGAACAAACAACTTGTCTAGCCTCCAGGTGCCCTCAGTTCTTATTTTGAACTGTAGGTATAACCCAGCTCATTTCTGGAACAGATCGAATATTGGCTGTCAAACCAGATATTGACAGAGAGGAAAAAGCAGAGGAAAGGAACAGAAGAGAGATGTTGGGAAGGGAAGAATAGAGGAAAGGAGCAAGGAAGGAGCTATCCTGGGAGCGTCCAAAGAGTACAAGGAAGAGGTAGGCTGTTTTTCTGAAGGGGGAACCTGCACTGGGCTAATTGAAAAGTGAACTGTTTGTGTGTGTGTGTGTGTGTGTGTATAAGAGTTCTGTCCTGGAAAGACTGCAAGAGAGCACCATAAAAATACCAGGGGAAAGGGGGGAGAAATGACACAAACATTGTATGCATATATGAATAAAAAAAATACCAGGAGAACAGGGAAAAGTTTCAACACCAGCAGTTTTCTTTAAAGGGTTTTCAATACTGGGAGGATGGGAGGCTGGCATTTATATGGAGTAATAAAGGAAAGATCTTCCTGACCTAAGAAAGGTTGGAAGCAAAAAAGGGTGCGTGTTGATCTCAAGTACAGGCAAGGGGCTTTGTTGCTGAGCATAATAAGGGAGACCTAATAGGGGCAGGGTTTTGAGAATTGCTGGGATAAAGGTCACCCCTCAGCCCAGGAAGACACATAGCGGGGTCACAGTGGGTGTCACAGAGAAGTATGGAGGGCAGGCTTCAGAGGAATAGTGTGAGCGTAATAGGGTGGGGAGGGGGCTTGCCTGTGACAGGCGCCTCTCCTCACCCTTCCTACAGCTCTCCCAGCCCTCCCTCACCAGCCACTCACCCACCTTCCCAGGTGTAGGTTTCCTCAGAGATGGTTGTGAAGACAAAATGCAGTTCCAGAAATGGCAGGCATGACATCCACTTGGGGAGTGACAGCACAGGGCCATGCTGAAAATGGTGGGAAAAGGACGCTCTGGTTTGGGATTACTTTGGAGAATTTGGGAGAGATGAGAGTTCTCTGCTGTGAATAATGGGACTGAAACCTCCACATCAGAATATTTGGGGAAACAATGCAGTCTTTAAAGTGCCAGAGGAGGGATTTCCCTCTTACCGGGAATGGGTGATAGTAGGCTGAAGTTATTATTATTTTACATTTGTTTTACGTTTTACAATGACTAGTCCCTTTAAATAAACCTACAGTGAAGGCAGGTCAGTTTGGAGAGTGACAAAGTTTAATGGTTGGGAACTGCAGGAACCAGGAACTGTTTAATTGGCCAAGAGTTAAGGCAGATACCACTCCGTAGGAGAACTGATGAGGAAAACCCAGAACTTTTATGATTTGATTGGAGGAGCAGATGCTGTAATAGAAGATGAGATTTCTGTACTGTGTCTAGAAATGATGGGGTGGGAAAAGGTATCGACAATGGCAGACTGAGAAGAATTCTAGAGTTAGAGCACTGGGGAGCACTGAGGCCAGCTGAGGACAGCCTTTCAGTAGGAGTGATAAAGAAGAGAGAATTTTGAACTAGTAGGGAGGATTAAAAGATGAATCAATAGGGCTAGGGGTGTAGCTCAGTGGTAGAGCACTTGGTAGTCTGGGTAAGGTCCTGGGTTCATCCCCAACACCACACAAAAAAAGTGTGAATCAACAAAAGAGCCCAAAGTAGTACTGTGGTTAGTAGAAATATTACAGAAGCCACATACATAATTTAAGAGTTTTTATTGGCCACATTAAAAAGATAAAAGAAACAGGTAAATTTAAGGTTAATAATTTATCTTACTTAACCAAGTATGTTCAAAATATTACCATTTCAGCAATAATCCATATAAACACTTTTTGATAAGCTGTTTGGTAGAAAGTTCATCAAGTTAATTTCTACAGTAGCACAGATAGAATAATTCATCTATCCCTTTATCCATGTCTTTCCCCACCCACCCAGTGGTCTACCTACCCACCCATCCACCCATTATCTGTGTATCTACCCACCCATCTCCATATAAACACTTTAATGTGCTATTTCATATTCTCTATTCGTACTAAGTCTCCAAAATCCAGTGTGTATTCTAAGTCCCAACAGATCTCACTTTGTGCTAGCCATGTTTCAGGTGGCCTTAGTGACTGGTGGTGACCACATCCAACATGGTACATCTAGAGAGTTGTAAGAACAGTCCTATGAGCAGGGCACTGGTGACTCATGCCTGTAATACTAGCTATTTGGGAGGCTGAGATCTGGAGGACTGCAGTTTGAGGCCAGCCCAAGTATATAGTTCTTGAAAATAATCAGAACAAATGGATTGGAAGCATGGCTCAAGTGGTAGAGTGCCTGCTTTGCAAGGGTGAAGGCTTGAGTTCAAACCCCATTTCCACCAAAATAAAACTAAACAAAACAAACAAACAAACAAAAAAACCCCACAGTTCTGTGAAAGAGTTGGGGGAAGATGGAGGTTGAGAATAAGTCCTTGGCATATTAGGGATCATGGAGAGAAAAGAGCAGCAGGCTTTCAGTGACAGGAAACACAGGATTCTGACCCAAGTGGATCAGAGATGGTCTCACGTATGTGAAGGTGCGTGTGAGCTCCGGTGGAGAGTAAGAGAACTAGCTTGTCCCGTGCAAAATTTGGAGCAGATACACATCACAGAGATGACAAGCGAAGAGGTGCTCGGTGCTGGGAGGGTAATGAAAAGAGCTGTCTGTTTGGAGAAATCCTGAAGAAGACTTTTAATCGGGAGTGTCTAGGGCTGAGGATGTGGTTCAAGTGGGAGAATGCTTGCCAAGAGCAAGGCTCTGAGTTCCGTACCCAGCACTGCAAAATATATATATAAGTAAATAAATACAACTGAGAGCATCTAGAGCACTATCTATTTCGAGAGAAGAGGTTGGGTTGCGTGAATGCAAAAGCTTAGGAGGTGAGGCATGACAGATATTCCATGTGTGATTGTTAGGTGAATGATAAAACCATAGGGAGAGACTGACGTAGAGAGAAGGCCAACACTGGACATGATGAAGAAATGACAACATTTGTAGTTGGGGGTGATATAGAAGATCAGAAAATGTGATGGAACCAACCTGAGAGATGTCATCGTAGTGAACATTATTTAAGAGGACTGAGCAGATAGATTTGCTAATTTCTGAATAGAGATTGCAGTAATAACGGTGATCCTGCAGAAGATCGCAGAGTCTCCGAGGTGCTGACACTCCAGTGCTGATTGCTCTGAGCCAAGCATCCTGATTGTAGCTGGGAACATTTTAGATGACCACTAATTAATTTCTGAATAGTTGCCCATTATCCTAATCCAATCCAAGATACGATATTTACTTGTGAGAGGAAAACAGGAAATGCTAGTGTGGCAGCAAACCAGAGACTTCTATTGCTGTAAACAAGGGGAAGATTTTATTTTAGATGACGGAGACCCAGAGTGCGTTTTCCTGGAATTATTGAGGAAGGTGTGCCGTGTGAGTGACTGCTCTGCTGACTTTTATAGAACC